TAGCAGTCACCTGGATTGAGCCTGACAATCCAGCCTAACACAAGTGATCGTTGGCCCTGCGCTGGGGTCTCTCTATAAATACCCTCTTTCACAAGAGGGTCATGTATTCTCTTCTTAACCTCTCTTCTGTATTTGCTCCCACTCTGGTCCATTACTTACTTTGGCATCAGAGTGTCTTGCAGGTACACCCCCCCTCCTCATCCATATTCCTTGTGAGCAGCTTGCAGATCAACGACGTGTGACAGGTCATTGGTTCCCTTCTGATCAGGTCAGATCAGTTATTAATGCATATAGTAATTATTAACATTTAACTAAGTGTGAGGCTCAAGAAAAGATTGAGTCTCAAGATGGCATTGTTCAATCACATTAAAAAGTGTATTGTCTCATCACATTAAAAAAATGATACAAAGTATTTATAAAATTAAATTAATTTTTTTATAATAAAAATGTTAAAAATAAGTATTAAATATTGATGTGATACTTTTACTATTAATGTCTTAAAATAATAATAAATATTAATATTACAATATAGTTGACCTATATCTATATCTATAGTCCTTTGAGACACACGCCACAAATCATAATTACTAACGAACTCTTTAAATTTTTTTTAATAAATTTTTGAAATGACCAATTCTTTACTATCCATCAATTTAATATTTTATTTATTGTTATAATTTTTTAATTTAATATTTTATTTATTGTTATAATTGTATTAATTTAAAATGACCATAACAGATCTTTCAATATTATATAATTATTACTTGCTAATTCAAAATTTTCTTTTCTTTGCAGTTTAACTTTTCCATTATGCCTTCATTCTATTTTTATTAAACTATATTAAATAATTATTACTATTTATCGTGTATAAACATCATGCCTTCTGATGCACAATTAATATTCTGCCGACTTTCTGTTTTACTTTTCTGTCTATAACATTTTTTATTATTATTATTATGGAAGTTTTGCTAAAGCAAATGTCTACTCAATTCATAGTTAGTGACCTCTTCACGTTTTTGTTTGATGTATACAAACACTACTTCCCCAAATACACTTTGTTGTCCCATTGTCTCAACCTTCATTCCAAACCCATTTAATAATTATACTAATTTATTTTTTAATATATAATTTTATTTAAATATTTTATGGGACAAATTTGTGTTATTCATAAATATTAAAAAATACTAAAAAAAATGCTTTGTTGATTCAAATATTTTTATATATATTCAAATATATGACTAATGTCAAAATAAATTTAATATTTATATACGGGATCAAATTCATTGTTGATTATAGACACTAATTTATTAATCTTTTAAAAATAATAACTTTTTTGTTTGAAATTTTTAATTTTTTAAATTTAATTTTTATTATAATTTAAAAAAAAAATGTGCGTATCATACTGCACGGGTCTCCCACTAGTTGAAATGAAATCAAGTGAGAATTAAATTATAGTAAAAAAAAAGAGAAAGTAAACTTGAAAAGGAGGTGTAGCAGAATTGATAGTGTGTAACACAGCAAATGGCCTGGGCTTGGGAAAGCCCAATAAACAACAAGGAACCCTCTAGAGGAGGGGTGTATACGCATACCAGGGTTGCAAGTAGCCATAGTATGGGCTTTGAGGCCCAAGCAACATGAGATAAGAGGTTCAGAAATTTAAAAAAAAAAAACCTCAGCATCACATGTTCACAAGTTACATCACGTGTTTCTTTTTCTCATCGTTCAAAAGTATCATTGCCGGAAACGCAACTCCGCCGCGCCGGAGCTCATCGCCGCCGGAGGTGGAGCACAAAGTCAAACAAAACTTAGACTATTGTATTCGTCTACTTCTACTCTACTCAAATCCACAATTAATTTCGTCTATCTCCACTCAACGGCACAAACTGCAGCAAACACCATAAGAACCCTAGGATACTAAACATGAAATTAAACGATGCTTGTGAGGAACTGAAGCCTCTCACATGAGGGCTTCTATTCCTTGTGCCATGGTTTACATGATAGCAACGTGGAATTGAAGAAAACAGAGAGAAATGGTCGATCTACCGGAGCTTCGCCGGCGAGAGAATCAACTTCAGGTAATGCTCTGCTTCCTCTTCTATTGACTTGCTTCTGCTTATACTCCCTTCTCTTTGAATTGCTTGTTTCTGGTTGTTGAATATGCGTTGAAGCTGAGAGAGAACATGAGAGTGAGAAAACGTGTGAAATGTGGATTGAAAATTTGAGTAGTGAGAGAATGTGAAAAACGTGGATTGAAAGAGTGATGAATTCTGAACCCCCTGAATTGATGCAGATTGATGAATTTATAGATTGATGAAGGGAAGGGTAGATTAGGGATTTAATCAGAAGTTAGTTACAAACCGAAGAATCTGTTATGAATTGAATTAATCCAGCTGGCAATGAATTTCTGATTTTAATTGTGAATTCATTCCGAAGATTTTGTGCTGCTGATTTTTTAAATACAAGTTCACGTGGGAATATGTAATGTGTGGTATGGAATGCAATTCTGTTTGTGCTATGCAAGGCAATTTGTGGCTTCATGAAATGCAAACCTTTCATGAGTTAATCTAGCTGGAAATTAGTGGTTAAAAAATGAATTGATTTGTGAACTAATTGTGAATTTTGTTGAGTTTATTCATGTGAAGATTTTTGTCATGAGGTAAATGCGTGATTGTGTTTAATTTGAACTTTTGCCGATGAAACTTGTGGGCTGGACCTTGAATTGTGAAATGCAATGTTGTTTGATTTTGTTCACTTGGAAAATACAATTTCAATGTGATTATTTGAATGCAATGTTGAATTTTCACTTGGGAACGTGTAATGCAATGCTTAGTGTGATTTAATTTGTGAATTTTGTGTGGAGATTTTGATTATGCAATGCTGAGTTTTAATTCCTCTTACAATGCTTACTGTTGTTTTTATTTGTGAATGCCATGTGCACTTGAATGCCTCTTTCATGCATGAATTCTATTTGAAATGCAATGAGAATGCTTGCTTGCTAATGTGGAACTTGGTCATGGGTGAAATATGATTTTATTTATGATTTGGAAATTAATTGATGAAATTAGTTGTGTTGAAATGCAATCTTGAGTTGTGATGATTATTGATAAAGTGTGCCATCTGAATTTGTTAACCTTGTGTGAAATTTGTGTTTGAGTTATTGAATGCTTGTTGTGAGTATGATATGCTTTGAATTCAAAAACATGTTAGGATGTATGGTTGTGAACTTGGTTGGATGAATATATATGGTATTGTAAGTGTGGTGTATATAGGTAATGAAATGCAATGTTATGCTAAATGTTGTGTATGACTTGATTGGATGTGGCAATGGTGTCTTTTGCAGGGCATAGAAGCATGTGGATGTGGATGAACAGAGGATCTGGCTAGGCATGGCATGAGGTTGTTGAGGCACATGAACAAGACTTGGGACTTCCTATTGAATCATAGAATTAAGGTTTAGGAATATAATTAGGGATTCTTGGTGTACTTGTCTGGTCTTAAAATGGTTGACAAACATACAGAACCGTAACAACTTAAAACAAAATAGAAGGAAAAGTAACAAATTTAAAGTTATATGCTCAAAAGATATTTTAAATAACTTTTAAGAAAAAACTATAAGTTAGTAAAAAAAATTACAAACTAAAAACAAAATAACAGATATCAAACTATTTTTTTTATTAATGTGACTTGAAAAGTTAAAAGATAAAAGTTCTCTTTTTTAATCTTACAGTGCTAAACAAACTCTTAAAGAAGCAGGAGGACCCTCAAAGGTCAAACTGTGTATTGTTGTTTCGGATTTCAAGAACTTCACGATTATGATGGAGAAGTGGAAAGGGCAAAAGCTGATGTTATTTAAATAAAGAAAAGGCACTGTTTATTGAATGTTTGGTTTCACTTGTGAATTGTGGAATTAAGTGGGTTTTTTAGAATTGATTATCCTTAAAGTTAAGATTGGTAGTTTTTAGATTTAAATATGATTTTTATACTGAAAATTTTCATTCAATAACCAATTCATTTAATCTGTGCGTTAGCTTTGATGAATTCCGTTGAAATTTCACATCTAGGCAAAAGTTTTGTTTTAAAGCTTATGCATTTTCACATTAAACTTACATTGAGATGTAATATTTTGTGTTCAAACACAGATCAAACACACTTAAATAATAACTCACTTTTTTTACATTAGATGGTAAAAGAGAAATCATATTAGCTATCATCATCAATGGATCAAACCAAATCACTCACCATTTGCTCAAAGTGTCTGAGTTTCTTACCACTAACACCAACAGCTTGTTGGGAATCACTTATTCTGTTTAGTTTGAATATGAACAAAATAAAAGAGAATGATTGAAGGGGAAATATAAACACAAGAAGCAGAAGACCCTCTTTCTAGATGACATTTAGCCTAAGTAACATTAAATAATTGTCGTATATAAAAGTAAAATCTAGATGAGTAACATTAAATAATTGTCATATAAAAAAGAAAAAAAAATAATAAAGGGTTTTTTACAATTGTATTTTATTAATGATATTGAAAAAATAAATTTACGTAGTAAATATATATATATATATATATATATATATATATATATATATATATATATATATATATATATATATATATATATATATATATATATATATATATAGAATTCATAATTTATTAGCATTACCAAACAAATTGTATTGTGATACAATTTATTTATTTTTAAAAATGACTTATATTAAGAGAGGAGGGAGTATAATAAAATCTATGCACCTCATCAATCTACATTTTAATACAGCTATAGTCTTTGAATCGAAAGCCTATTCATAAATTACATTTTAAAAATAAGTTCTAATCTAGATCGATCCAAATAAGAATAACAAACTGAATTAAGAAAACTAAAAACACACAACCCGCGCTATTCTAATCTTTGGATCAGATACTTTATTTATCCTAAAACCGATCCAAATCGAACTAAGAAAAAACCCCAACGTGTTTAGGATACAAATATACTACCTATTCAAGAAAGAGATGACAAGGAACGAAGACTATCGATGACAGAGTTGATCGCAGCATGAGAACCATTTGTAGCATTAAATGCAAGATGCTTAGGAGCTTCAGCTCTATCAAAATAAAATCCACCTGACACCAACTTCTCCTTTGGTTGTAAGGCCAACCAGACAACTGTGTCTGCTCCTTCCTCGCTTGTTCTAAGCTTCCCCGCAAGCCTGTAATCAATTCAGTCAGTATATAACCATTTTGATTTAAGACTAACTGACACGGTCCAGGAAGAGTTGGTAAATGGTAACATGATTCTCGTCTAAGAAAATAATTTGAATTCAATTCCTATAATCAAATTGATCACGAGATGCTTTGTGTCCATAAATGGTTTGAGTCTCCGAAACTTTATAGTAATTATAATCAATATATTTTCTTGGATGATGTAAGAAAACACGCATTACTTACGATTTTGAGAAGCTTGGTAAGCTTTTTGCCACACCAGGAGTGTCAGCCCAACCTGGATGCATTGAGTAAAATCCTATCCCTTTGTTCTTATATGTCTCGCCCCAATTTTCCGTTAGTGCAACCTGCCATTTCAAATATATCATAATAAAACTTGCAAAAATAGACGGTCAGATCAAAATACTATTTGGTCACAGGATGTATTTACTTGTTTGTGTATGTTGACGACATTTATCACTATAAAGGCATTAATCATTACAGTATTGCTAAGATAAAACGTCTTTGTCGCAACATTGGTTAGTGCGATTGTTTAGTCAATTGTTAAAAAATATAAGAGAAAAAAAGTGTATCAACTATTGAGTAACCAGCTTAACTAACTATAATTGACTGACCTGAACGCGCTTATTTCGAGCATACTGTTCAGTCCCATTAAAGTTGCTTTCAGAGTACTGGTAAAAAAATCAGAATAAATTATACTGAAATCCTGAAAATGATTGAGTAATCTGAAATGTTCATAATACAGTTAGTTAGTTAGTTACCTGTAGATCTTTGGTCAATGGAGTACTATACATTCCACCAGACGAAACCGTAATTACGCGTGCATCAGGGGAAGCTTTCTCCAATAGCGGTACCATCAGTTCAGTCATTGTGTAAGTTCCTAATACATTGATAGCAAAGTTCAACTCAAACCTGGAATGGAAAAGTTAAAATTAAAAGCAGTTTTGTGAAAATAGTGGATATAGCATATAGCAGTATTTGAACAACCGCTATTGTTTTGTGATACACGGTTTAGTATAATGTGTTGTCAAATAGAAGATACAGTACAGCGCTCTAGCGTAGATATCAATGACCAGTACAGGTAGAGTTGGCGAAAAACTTGTTTCCACGTTCAGCAAAAGAAGACTCACCCCTCTGACGTGGTCACTCGATTTTGCTCAAGCCCACCAGCATTATTAACCTTGATGCGAAAAGTTGTTTGATATTAGATTTTATTCAAGAGAATAAATTGGCTTAAATTATCATATCAGAAGAAAAATTTGTATTGCAAAAAAGATTTAATAAGTCGTAATTTCTTGAAATAAAACCGTATCCTCAAGCAATCTATAGATATCCCCTGGATTATTTTTGTAGTGAAATTACCAGGAAATTCAACCATGCAGTGAGGTACATTATACTATCTCAGCAATATAACAATATGATGGTTGTAGCATTGACACCTCTAAAAGAAGACACGCCCATGTCTGTATCAAACCCTGACACCGACAGAACACCAACACTTGCGATTATGGTCAATTTATTCATTTTTAAAATTATTACTGGTGTCGACGTGTCTAGTGTTGTGTCTAGTGTCCGTGCTTCATAGAATATGATTGACAATTTACCAATACATGTAGTGGCACATTCTTGTTAGAAAACCTGGTAGCAAGTGACTTGATATCCGAGACAGATGACAAATCACAAATCTGCAAGAAAATTTAGCCAGTCATCATGAACAATCGGAATAACATTTACTATTTCCAAATCAACTCAATTATGAGAAGTTCCATAAAGCTTATGCTCAATTCACAAAATTATGAAAGTCTAAATGCAACTTTGGTCCCGCGATGAAAAAATTTGATTTTGTAAAATTAATTTTAGTTGTTTGGTTTTGCATTGAAGAAAATTGATTTTAATTGTTTAGTTTTGCGGTGAAGAAAATTGATTTTAGCTGTTTGGTTTTGCGGTGAAGAAAATTGATTATGTAAAATTGATCTGCCTAAAAAGTGGGTTGAAGGTAAAGTGATTAATGTTTTTATAAATTGCTGCAAAAGTAGGTTGAACAGTAAATTTCACATTTACTCAAAAACTACAAATCCTAGTATCAAGTAGAATCAATTCTGAAAGGCATAGTCAATTCTCATCGAAAGCAACCAAACATGTTAAAATTAATTCTACACGTCCAGTATCAATTTTGGGTGCTCCAAACATACATTAAAAGTGAATTGAATGTAAAGTGATTTATATTTACCTACACTCATGCGAGTTGAATAAATCAGAGGTCAAAAAACAATTGTAGAGGCAAAAACACCAAATTCTAACTTCAAGTTAGAACCAATTCAGTAACCAAAATCAATTTTACTCTAGAATAATCAAACCAAACGTATCAAAATGAATTCTACACCTATGGAATCAATTTTACCTTCTCTAAACATGAAACCAAACATACACTAGTGCATTTGATAATTAAGTAAAAGAATTGGTGGCTACACAATATGAGAAAAACAAAAAAAAAAAAACGAAAATACCTCCAAATGTACATTTTGATTGCCAGTTTTAGTTTGAATTTGAGAAAGAGCAGCCTCTCCTCTCTCCTTATTACGACATACAAGATAGACGGTTGCACCCCTGGCAAAAATCATTAACTATAAATAGCAAGTAACTACAAATACTTAAAATAAACAAACATCATAAAAAAGATGAAAACCGCTGCGCAAGACCCTCGGCTGTTGCATAACCGATTCCAGAGTTTGCTCCTGTAACTATGCAATTCTTCCCTGGTATTTGTGTTTCCATTTCCTCTGGTTTGAAATTCTTAGAATGCTCACTGTGAAAGTTAAAATCTTATACATCAGAAATTAACAAAAGCTACCAATTTTTTGTGTATATAGACACAATAAATAGCAGTAATTGCTATTCATTTTCTGTTGATTTGTTATTCGATTCCGAAATATCATGAGACTAAGGTCAGTCACACACACATTCAATCTTCTAAGATTCTTAACATGCAAAATGAAATTAAACAAAGAGAATATGAGTCCAAAATAGCTATTTCAACCGAGTAAAAGTTGATACCGGATAAACTAATCAAACAAACAAAATAAACTAGCCTTCACTCAAAGAAACGAAATGAAATTTGGATTTGTTTTGCATCTACCTATATAAGTAATACCAATGTTGTGAGCTAAGCTAAGCATTAAGAATTGGAGGAACAACTAATAATAATAATAATAATAATAATAATAATAATAATAATAATAATAATAATAATAATAATAATAATAATAATAATACTTAATATTCTCTTTGGTCTTTTATGTTAATCTCGGATTTCATTTTACTCCCTTAACTTAAAAAAGTGCTATATTGATCCTCACCTCTTCAAAATGTATATATTAGTCATTTTCGTCTAATTAGCGATAGAAAAAATATAAAAATCGGTCGCTAAAACTGTCACTAATGAACAGAAAAGACTAACATAGTCTTGAACAGTTAAGGAACCAATATAATACTATTTTAAGTTAAGGGATCAAAATAAACTCTAAAGTTAACATACTAAACTAAAAAGGGTATTAAACCTAATAATAATAATTATGAGAATTTGGGTTTCAGTCTAAAGCAACCCTAAATACTATGATCTGCACTTATAAATCACTATTTTAGCCACATCACTGATCATTATGAGATCTCTTAATAACACCTTTATGCTAAGGATTGGACATCTAGAGCAAGATCATCTTTGAGGACATGAAAGGCGGGCTACTGCACATAATCCAAAATTTAACATGTTTAACTCTGTCTTAAAAAGACCTCATGAAATATTTGTCACAGTTAAGACAAAATATGACATATATTTGATTCGACACTTAAATAGTGAATAACCTATACAGAACCTCAAAAAACTTTAAAAAAATTTGATTTGGAGGTTTGAAGAACCTCACTAGCACACGGCGAGAGGATTTCCCTCACTACAATCACTATTTAGGTTATATCACTAGTGAAAGTGATATCACCAATAATCATAAATTGATATGTTGTCCATAAAATGAAATGCTAAATTTATATTACACATGACAATATGACATAAGACTTTCAAGGATTTTGAAGCTAATATTTATAATTATGGTTTATTATGAACGGACATTATAAATATATATGTTATAGAAACTAGTTATTTGTTTGAAAAAGAAAAAGAAACTTACAGAAAAGCAGGTTTGGTGAAATTGAGATAACCATAAACACCAAAAGTAGATTGTCTCCATGTCTGTTGTTCAACAGAAATAGCTAAAGATCAAAGGAATTAGGGTTACAGTAAATGTAAAGTAGAGAAGAAAAAAAAAAAAGAATACCTTGAGAAGAAACATTGTGAGAGTTGGAACTGTAATGGAGAATTGAAACTCAAATTGCAATTGAAGCATGTTCCGTTTGTTATTGGTTATTATTACTTGACGTGTGCATATCGAACGAACCGTACTTTTCAATCACGTGCGTTGCATGTGCGGACATTGTACTGTAGGAAACGTAGCAGCTATTACTACCACTTATGTTTTCTTTTTCTCCCATGACTTTTCAAAGATGTTTTTTTTTTTTTTTTAATTCTTATTTTTATTTTGACTAAAATATATTCAGTATTTTTAAGTTATTTTATGTTACAAGGTTGTTTTTTTTTAATGTTTTTTAGCTATAAGTTAATCATTTATGTTAACTAACATGTGTGTCGTTTATATTTTTCATAAATTCCGTTTTAAAAAAGTTTATGTGGCAGAAACGGTTACATTGTTGAATATGTATTTGTCTTATTCTATAATAATTAAGACGGTATAATTCCAAAATTAGATTACACAATCCTAATTTAGGTGACTGAGGTGGAAGGAAAAAACAGTGACGGGGGTAGAAGGAAAATACAGTTGCAGACGAAGTCATTGAAGGTGACGAAACCGTGAAGTTGAGGTATGTTTCGTTATATCTAAAGTCATTGATTGTGACTCTCATTTTATATTTAGTTTTTGAAAACGAAACTCTCCACCAATCTTGTGTGTTAGATTTTAGGTTGATGTAATTGTGGGTCTGTTGTTGATATTAGTAATGGTAGTGTTCATTTTAAGGTGTGTTGCTTATTTGCTTGTTGGAAATGTATGTTATTGATGTAAACAAGTCAAAATAGTTATGGATGAATTTTATGTTGACTTTCATCATGGGGGGATATTATGTAGTGATGTTTTGGTGAAACATATATCTAAATTTTTTAATAGTGTTATAATTGGATCAAGACAAAAGCCAATTGTAACAATGTTAGAGGAGATCAGAGGGTACCTCATGGATAGATGGACAACTAATAGAGTCAAGATTGAAGATTATAGTGACTTTGTTCTTTCAAGAATTAAAAAAGTGTTTGAATGAAGGCAAGATATCTCAAGGTTTTTTATAGCAAGGTAATTCAGTAATTAATTTACAACATACAAATTTGTTATGATTATTAATACTAACTCAATGGATTTTATTTATTTCAAAGGTTATCAGGTGACATGATTTATGAAGTAAGACATACAAGTTTGAATGGAGAAAAATTCGCAGTTGATCTCAAGAGGTTGAAGTGTTCTTGCAGGAGTTGGATGCTCACTGAAATTCCATGCTACCATGAAATTACTTGCATCCAAAGTAGATCTCAAGACCCAGCTGAGTACATTCCTCCATGTTATAGGAAGGAGACTTATCAGGCTTGCTACCAACCATTCATATATCCAACAAATGGGAAAAAGTTATGGGAACTTTTGAGATCTTATGTTTTGAGAATTCTGTTTTAAATTCTATAACAATGTTTTGGTTTATGATTATGTATGTTTTAGTTTACAACAATATTTTGAGAATTATGTTTTGGTCTATAACAATGTTTTGAGAATTTTGTTTTGGAATCTTATGAATATGTTTTGAATTCTATAACAATTCAATGGTTTATGTTATGATTATGTAATGTTTTGGTTTATGTTATGATTATATAATGTTTTGATTTATGTTATGATATCAATCAGATTCTGGAAATAAATTATAACAAACAAATCATTTTAAGGTCCCTAATAGTGTAACAAAACATATCATTTATGTTTTAAATTGTAATAAACATGTCCCATTTGTTTTTAGATTGTAACAACCAAATCCTTTAAGTTTTGTCTGTTGTACAAATTACTACCTTACTGTAACAAAAATGGTACAGAATTTATGAACACAAAATAGGCAGAATTGAAGAAATTAACCATTGTTAAAAAGTGTTACATCAAAGTACCGAAAGTCATGTTTGTTGTACATATCAATTATGTTTTAATTGTAACATACAGGTCCCATTTGTTTTTAAATTATAACAACCAAGTCCTTCAAGTTTTGTCTGTTATACAAATTACGATCTTACTGTAACAAAACAGGTATAGAATTGTAACACAAAATAGACAGAATTGAAGAATTAACCATTGTCAACAAGTGTTACATGAAAGTACCAAAAGTCATGTCTTAAACACTAGCATCAAAATTAAGAATGACCATCACTTCTGAACCAAAATACACATCAACGCTACAAAAATCAAAACTAACAATATTATGACATAGACTAGCATCTTCAACATGTTCTTCATCATCTTCTTAGTGTACTTCTCATCCTTTTCAATGCCCCTTCTAAGCATGTTGATTTCTATATCCTTTTCATCACATTTCGAACATTTTGAAATGACTGAAGGTTGTATCTGTGGTTTGACTTCATCACTATAATGGTTTTCATACCACTACAAAAAATTGCAACCCACATTACCAACTTCACTCTATTAACAATAACATAAACCAAAACATCATCCAAGCTCTGCAAAACCATCTCAGACACAGAAAAACAAATCAAATATGCCAAACTATGCACAACACACGTACCACAAAGTATCTGCATCCCCAAAATAGCTTCCCCAAGTTTCTTCCTTTCTTCTTAATTGTTCTTAACACTTCTTTGGTTCCACACGGACATGTCGGTTCGATTCTAGGTTGGGATGCACTCGAAATGAAGGTATTAGAGTTCTGACTTCTTCGATTTGGTCCACTGCTACCGTATGAGGCCATTGATGGAGTGATGAGATTTAGGGTTCGTATGTTTGTGAATTAGGGATTTAGGTTTCTCCTCTTATTTTTCTCTAGAAATATAAGAAATAATAAAACAAATACATATTCAATACTGTTAAATGACACATCAGCGTCGTTAGTACCACGTAAGCTTTTTTGAAATGGAGTTTGTGAAAAAGGTCAACGGTGAACACGTTAGTTAATATAAAGGACCAACTTATAGAGAAAAAACATAAAAGACTGCCTTGTTACAATAAAATAACTTAAAGGACCCTGGGTATATTTTTTCCTTTTATTTTTGCAATATTAAAAAATTCTGGTTTTTCTTAGGTTAAAAATAGAATGTAAGTTCCACTAACTAAACTCCATTGGTAGCTGTGCAAGGATATTAAATAAAAGGACACATATTTGAACTCGTGACATCCCATTGGTTCATCTTAAAAAGGTAAATTTTAGTCATTTGTTAAAACAATAGGTTATTCGAGAATAATGTGAAAAATGATTGCATATTGAAAAGAGTAAGCTGTTATACAAAAGGGAAGTTGTTGATTTATATCATCACATGCCTATTTATAGGCAATTAATATACTTGACTTATTACGTGATGTATCGGACTCTATCGAATTCATGCTAATGAATTTTGACATCAACAACATTTTGTATTCGATAGATTCGAATGTGGCTAGCTTTAACTTTGTCAAATATATTTAGCCTACTAAAACCATGAATTATTAGCTTATAACATAACATCTAGTTTATGTTTTCAAGGCTTCTTATCTCAATACTTCTATTCAACTCATCAAACTTAACTTTCTTCAATGGATTGGTGGGTATATGAGCTAGTTGCAATTCTGACTTGTATTGCTCAAGTTCATGTTTTCCTTTATATACTTGATCTCTAAGGGAATGCTACTTTCCCTCTATGTGTTTCCTCCTACCGTGACACACATGATAATTTTCTAGGTCGCTTGTCATCTATAAACAACTTCATCTTTATAGGTTCCTTGATCTTGAGCTCTTCGAGTAACATCTCTATCCATAATGATTTGCATACTGCATAAGAGACACCTACATATTCATCCTTGTCGTGCCTCGAAAAATGAGAACACGACCTTGCGAAGCGCAATCACATGCTCGTGGAATGGACTTAACAAAGTCGTCACCCCCTAAAAGAAAGGACAAGGATATGATCTCAAACCAATATCAGGATTTGGGAGTCATTTATACAAGGGAAATGTGTTAGCACCCCTCATGTCTGTTGTACTCAACGAGAACCATTTAGTTAGTTTCGATTGAACATTAGCTTATGTTAGTTTCTAGTCTTCTATTTATTTGGGATAGAAAAAGAGAGATAAGAGAAATGTTTTTTGGATTTTTATTAATGAGAAAGAACTTTAAAAAAGTGTTTTATTAAGGTGCAAATATGAAAGGACTTAAAAAAGGTTTTTTATTATTAGGGGGTCTGACAAGATTTCACAATTCTGCTCTTATGTATCTCTATGTGCAATAAAGAATTCATGATTACGTAGTTCTGGGTAGAAAATGTTTGTTTGTTGGTCAATTTTAGCGAAAACTATCTTGTATTAATCGACGGAAAATATTGTTTTACCCAAAACAAGTGAGGAGCGGGCGTTTGCATCACATCGAATGGATTTACAAATCAACGTTCACAGGAAAATGTAACTTATCTCAACTCAACGATTGTGGATGAAATCATCTCAAGACAAAATGTCTTTTGTTTATATAAAAAAGGTTTTTAAGATCGCACGACAGTGAGAAAAATAGATTTGATTAGTTTGATGTATTTTATAAGAGAATGTCAAAAGTTTGATGAGAACGAGACATAAGCCTCGGGATCAAACTCTCTGATTTCCATCGGAATGCTAGATTCCAATGGTCCTTTTTTCAATCAAGATTATTAAGAAAATTGTTTGATGGACAATGAAAGCTTGATAAGAATCAATTGTTCAAAGAGTTACGCCATAACTCTAGATCCCAACTGCCTTTAAGGTTAATTATTAAGTGTTTTAGGAACGAAAGAAAAGAATGAATGGTTAACCCAAAACACGTGGCTCGGGACCATTCGAGGGTTCCCACCAAAATGCTAGATTCCAATGGTTCTCTTCTTTCATATTTTATCTAAGATTTTTTTTTAATATTACACTTAAATGGAAAAATGTTTGAATCATGATAACAAACAATTTAATCGAATTTAGAGAAGACTTATATTGGACCAAGATTTTTTATTCTATTTATTTGATCAATCTCATCATATATTTATTTATTTAATTTGCAACAAATAAATAAATAAATAAATAGACATTTT